GTATAGATAGATTCAACTTGCAATGGGCGTTTTAATAAGACCACCATCGCTCCTATATATAATTCCCAAATGCGCTGAGTTTAAGTGACATGCTCATGCGCTTCGTAAGCTTATTTGGCATAAATTGGTGTTTCGTATTGACACATGTTAGGTTTGATTTTGTATATTATGTTTGATAATTATCATAAACTATTTTAGCTTTTTTTTTTCTTAAGTTATTATATACTACTCTTACCCTTTTTATTTAATTCATATATTAATAATTATAAATATGTATTCTTTTTATTTTTAAAACTGTATAAATTTTTTATTTGTATTTTATTTTTTATATATGATCTACAAAAATAATTATATTTTAATAATCTTCGGTTTGACATCCATATTGCATATATAATAAAATATAATTTCATTTATATTTATAAATAAAAGTAATTTTGTTATCAACTCAATTTAAAAAATATCTTATAACAATATAAATTATTTTATAAAAATAATAACATCTAATTCATTAATACACCATAAAATAATCATTTTATTATTTTTTCCATAAATTTTGGATAAAATTAATAAATTTGAATAAATATTATTTCTCAATTTAAATAGATTATATAAAAAAATGAATGCTATTATGTTATTTAAAATAGTAAATATAAAAGAATATCAAAATTAAATATAACAAAATTTCTTTGAATTTCATAAAGTTAGAAAATAATACATTTCCACGTATATTTTAAATTATTAATTATATGAATTTAAAATACTTGAAAAGTTAATAAACGTGTGTCAGACCTATAAATATAAATATAATCGCAATACAATAAAATTTGTTTTGTTTTAAAAAAAATGAATAAACTATATGATGTTGTAGAAAAGATAATTGAAAATACCTTTTTTTTTGGGCATATTTTAGTGTAAAAATATGGACACCATTTGAATTAATTATTATTTTTTTAGTTATTTATTATTGTTTCATATTCATCATACATAATTTCACAAAAAAAATATAAATTATTTTAGTTTTTATTGTGCAAATATTAATATATTTAAGTACCCGTATAGTACACGGTATTTGATAAATAAATATTAATATGATTACTATAACTTATAAGAGTGAAAGTCATTAGATTGTGTTGATTCGGGACCGATTAATCTCTAATTGATAAATATACATTCACGGTAAATTATATAATTACTCAATCTATATTTTAATATAAATTGTCTTCATTTATCCATAGTACTAAATATAAGAGAAATATAGAAAAAAGAAAAAAGAAAGGAAAAAAGGGGAGAAACGGTAAATAAATTTGTACTCATTATTTTATTCATTTTATCTCAATCATACATATAGGTTGATTTCCGCTATTTGGGAAACTCCTCGAACGGGCG